CTGTTTACTGGCACTCAAAACAAGTAAGAGTCGGGTTAAACTGAGTCAAATACTTCAGAAATGGTGTTAAAGGCCACTTGAATTACTTCCCTGGAAATATCTGGCCAAATGTATTTCCTCCTTAAAAAGAGAAAAGCCTACGAGGCGGCATGGGGAGAGGGCATTGAGCAAGACTACAGAGAAGGCAAAGCCCTCTGGCCCAGGCTGCTGTGAGTCAGCTCATTTCACAGCTGGCGCTGGGCGTTCGGACGGGCGTGCGAAAGCATCCCATGATTCCCTGATGTCATCCTCTGTCCAACACTGTCCACTCTTGCTGCCTTCACCTCAGGCCCACTGTCAGGTAAATGAGGACAACCGCCTGGGAACCAAGCTGACATTCAATTACCACGCTCCGGTCACGGTCAGGGTAAAGGGGCCCACTTTTAAGCCAGGAAAGGATCTGAGAAGGGGGCCTCCTGGTTAGCTCATGGACAGAGAGACACATATTATCACTTCTTGGCATGTGCTGAGCACTGCGAGGTTAGGCAGGGGTTCTCTGAAGAGTTGCCTCACTGAGCCCAGCACCAACTCAAATGTGCCAGGGGAGAATCAAAGGTTTAAAGTAAGACGGGGAAGGGGGGTAGATAGAGACAGAAAGCAATGGTTTTATATGGGGCTGGGAGGGGAGCAGGGACTGACTAGCAAAGAGGCACTAGGGAACTTTCTAGAATGATGGAAGTGCCCTAAAACTGGACTGCGGCAATGCATGCAGAACAGCATAAATGTACTCAAACTCACAGAACTATGTAATTATCACAGGTGAATGTATTCATAGGACATGTGAAAATATGCCTGAATAAAGCTGTTTTTAAAAAGTGGTGACCATGGGGCGCCTGGGTGGCTCAGTGGGTTAAGCCTCTGCCTTTGGCTCAGGTCATGATCTCAGGGTCCTGGGATCGAGCCCCGCATCGGGCTCTCTGCTCGGCAGGGAGCCTGCTTCCCTCTCTCTCTCTCTCTCTCTCTCTGCCTGCCTCTCTCCCTACTTGTGATCTCTCTCTGTCAAATAAATAAAATCTTAAAAAAAAAAAAAAAAAGTGGTGACCATGGGGGTGCCTGGGTGGCTCAGTCATTAAGCATCTGTCTTTGGCTCAGGTCATAATCCCGGGGTTCTGGGATCGAGCCCCGCATTGGGCTCCCTGCTCAGCGGGAAGCCTGCTTCTCCCTCTCCTGCTCCCCCTGCTTGTGTTGACTCTCTCGCTATGTTTCTCTGTCAAATAAATAAATAAATAAAATCTTAAAAAAAAAAAGTGGTGACTACACACATTTTTTAAAAATCTATAAACTAAAAGGTGGTTTTTCAGAAACGTGATGACTCTGCCGCTTGGCTCTCTACATCTCTTTCTCCCAATTCCAACAGGTGTGGGTTCTAGGCTTCTCCCTTTTCACCTCAACAGAAACCCGCCTTTCTGCCTCCTGGCCCCTAGGACAGATGTTCCGAAAGCTTCCAGAAGGAGGTGGCGGCCCCCTTTCCACCGCAACCCAACTGCAGACCAGTGGTGGCGGGTTGGGGGGAGCGGCGTCAGCAACCCACAGCCCCCAACCCTGCCCATACACAGCAAACGACCTTCTCCTTGGGAACCCCACTGCCAGCCACTGCCTCTGACCCCCCCAGCCCCCTGCCTCCTGGTGACACCCGGCTTCCATGTGTCTGTCCTCCCCACTCCTGTCACCCCCAAAGTCCCCGTGCGACAGTGAACTTCACCTGCCATCTACCTCAGCAGCCGCCCCGAGGCTCCACCTTAGACCCTCCTTCGGCACACGCTCAGACCTCTGTCCTGCACGTAACCCTCCTCCAACCCCAGTTCCTCCTCTGATGGCCCATTTCGTTTCCCTTGACAAGTCTGTCCCCAGACACTGCTTGTACTTCAGGACCTCTCCCTCTCTCCTCTGCCCTGGCCACTGCAGGAAGCTGCCCCTGCAAGGCCTTGCCCCCCACCGACCCCCAACACTGGACGCGGAGCGTCTACCAGCCACGCCTCAGACCAACCCCTTCATACTCATCCATTAATTCCAGCCAAAGATGGAAAACAGAGAAACTCAACTTGGTCAAGACAAAACATGATTTAAACAGCCATCATCGGGGCACCTGGGTGGTTCAGTCAGTTGAGCAGCTGACTCTTGATTTCTGCTCAGGTCATGATCACAGGGTCCTGGGATCAAGCCCTGTGGCAGGTTCCACACTCAACTGGGAGTCAGCCTGAGACGCTCTCTCCTCTCCCTCTGCTCCTCTCCCCACTCACGCACATGGGCAGGCACACGGGCACGCTTGCTCTGTCTCAAATAAATAAATCTTTAAAAAAAAAATAAAGAGGGCACCTGGGTGGCTCAGTCAGTTAAGCGTCTGCCTTTGGCTCAGGTCATGATCCCAGGGTCCTGGGATCAAGCCCCACACTGGGCTCCCTGTTCAGTAGGGAATCTGCTTCTGCCTCTCCCTCTGCCACTCCCCCACTTGTGTGCACACTCCCTCTCTCTAATAAATAAATAAAATCTTAAAAAAAAAAAAAAAACCATCATCGAGCATAGAGCAAAGCAGTCCACAATGATTTAAACTGTGCCTGGTGGGGACACCCAGGTGGCTCACTTGGTTAAGCGTCTGCCTTCAGCTCGGGTCGTGATCCCAGGGTCCTGGGATCAAGTCCCACATCAGGTTCCTCGCTTGGCAGGGAGCCTGTGTTCCCTTCTGCCTGCCGCCCCCTGTTTTGGGCAGTGTCTCTCTCACATACACACAAGAATAGATACAATCTTAAAAAACAACAAACAACAACAAACTGAAAAGCTCAAACATTAAAATAAATAAAGATAAATAAAAATAAATTGTGCCCAGTGTACTTGTCCTCCCTCAACAAAAGCGATCTGTGATAACGAGTGCTGTGTTAATCCAAGGAAAAGGTAAACCTCCATTAAAAACCCAAGTTTAGAAGTCTGTATAGGTGGGGCGCCTGGGTGGCTCAGTGGGTTAAGCCGCTGCCTTCGGCTCAGGTCGTGATCTCAGGGTCCTGGGATCGAGTCCCACATCGGGCTCTCTGCTCAGCAGGGAGCCTGCTTCCCTCTCTCTCTCTCTGCCTGCCTCTCTGTCTACTTGTGATCTCTGTCAAATAAAATAAATAAAATCTTTAAAAAAAAAAAAAAAGAAGTCTGTATAGGTTCTATGAGGGAAGTTCTTTCCAACGCTCTTTTAACGATTAGCCTCCCTAGTCAAGAAAGCAAATGTTGGCAGCTGCTGAGAACAGAAAGAGCCAGCGAGCAGTGCCACCGCCAAGGTCAGCGATGATTCAGCACACGCAGTTCCTCGCAGGGAGGCTGGGATGAGTATTTCACTCTTATTCCGGGATGAGTACTTCACTGTGGGCTACTTCTTTTGCCCTGCTTCCCCGCAGTCAATTTCGGTATTATTTCACCCAGGGAAACTAGCTACACTTAAAAGAAGAAAGTTTTCTGGCAGCAAGGGTAACTGGAGTCTTATGCTTGATGTTTAACCAATAATATTCTTTTAAAGCTGGTTGTATACAAACCAGCATATGACAGCCTGTTCACCATCAGTGACCTGTATTTAGTATCTTATCCCTTATCTTTTGAACTTGTGGTTAGCGAGGGAGGAGAAAACAGAGGGGATAGGTCTTGTACTCGGGTTTCTCTTCTGTAAATGGGTCAGGGCTGTGGTTAAGGATTAAACGGTAAAGAGATCATGTTGTCCTAACAATAACTTTCCAATCGAGCCACGTTTCTGGTTCCGGTAACGTACAAGACCATTCACAGAATAGGTCATTCAACAATCATCACATTTTAGAGCTGGTGGCGGGTTCTTCGAAACCCACCACCTACTTAAGAGATAGGAAAACCGACGGCCAGGAGCAAAACTTGCAAGGTGACAGCGCCAAGCCGCCAGGCATGCGGACTCTAGGCCTGCGCTGTCCCAATCGGCAGCCTCCAGCCCCATGAGACACCCACACAAACTTCAAGCGTGGCCAGTCCAAACTGGACGCATTGAGAATGCAAACGCATACCTGATTTTGATGATTTAGTGAAAACAAAACTGTAAAGTATCTCATGATTAACTTTCTGTATTGATTACAGTGAAATGGTAATAGCTTGCATGTATTGGGATAAACAAGACATAGCAAAGTTAATTTCACCTGTTACTTTTTACTTAAAAACACAAACAAAAACAAAAAACAAAACCATGGCTAGGGGTGCCTGGACAGCTCAGTCCGTTAAGGGTAAGACTCCTGATTTCTGCTCAGGTCATGATCTCAGGGTCATGGGATCAAGCCCAGCACTGGGCTCCATTCTTAGTAGGGAGCCTGCCTAGGATTCTCTCTCATCCTTTCCCTCTGACCCTCCCCACTGCACACGCATGTGCTCCATCTCTCTCATTTATAATAAATAAATCTTTAAAAAAAGAAACATAGAGGCCTGTGATGCTTGTACCAGAGCCCTGGACCTCAGTCCTGTGTGCACCCAGCTTGCTGTGTGGCCTTGGGCGAGTTTCCTCCACTCTTCAGGGCTCAGTTTCCTTATCCGTAAAATGAAGGCATTAGTGGGTCTCAACTGGGGGCATCTGGCAAAGGCTGGAGACACTTTTGGTTGTTATGATGGACCAGGGATGCTCCGGGTATCTAGTGCGTGGCGGTCAGGGACGCTGCCAAACACCCTGCTGGGCACGGGGCAGTCCCCATAACAAAGAACGACCTGGCCCCAAACGTCAACAGCGTCAAGGCTGGGAAACCCTGTGTTAGACTGAGGTGCCTCCATAGGGCCATTCCGGGGAACTGCGAAACTGTCTTCCAAAATGGCTGTACCATTTTATGATCCCCCATTCCCTCGCATCCCTGCTCACACCCATACTTGTGCCAGCCTTCAGGAGCTCAAATAGCTTTTGACAAAGTCTGTTCTATGGACAGTGTCCAGGATTGTTTACAGATTACCACAGTCATAAAGAAAAATCTCAGCCATTGTCTTACCTGGTGCCTGTAATTATACCAGCCGTTTGAGCCGGCGACAATCACCACCCAGTGCTTGCCCCCATCCTCGGGGTCATCCACGGTAACAGCACTGGCGCCCAGGACCACGCTGAGCAATACGGCTACTTCCCAAATCATTCTGTGCCTCAGAGTTCAATGGCAGAAATCTGGGAAGAAAAAAGCAGTCAAGCAAAAAAAGGAATGACAGAAACAGAAGAATACTGTTGGCCCCTAAGAAAATACCACAGCCCATGGGTCAAAAAGATAAGACCATTTGGTCATCTGATGGAACAGCTTAAAGATAAAAACAATGACAGAGCAGAATTTTATCTTTGGCTCTGCAGCCCCTTTCCCTAGGGGGAGAAGGATCTACCCATCTCTCTCTCACTCCAGGTGGAAGTTATGGGTATAAATCAAAGCTGGGAACACTCTTTGGGCAGCCTTAAAAGGTTTTAACAAGTTTTTGTCATAACTTGGAATATAGCACATAAAACTCACCAACAAAATTCACTGTATTTTTTTTTTTTTTTAAAGATTTTATTTATGTATTTGACAGACAGAGATCACAAGTAGGCAGAGAGGCAGGCCGGTGAGGGGGGAAGCAGGCTCCCCGCTGAGCAGAGAGCCCGATGCGGGGCTCAATCCCAGGACCCTGAAATCATGACCTGAGCCGAAGGCAGAGGCTCTAACCCACTGAGCCACCCAGGCACCCCCAAAATTCACTGTATTAGAAAAATGTCTTACCACATTGTATGAAATGTTTGCAAGAAAATACACATATAATGGGTGCACACAAAATGGGGAAGGCAGACACCATTTAACAGTAGTTATTGATGGGTGGTAGGTGGAATTCAGGATGACTTTCTTCCTCTCTTTTTACTGTAACAGATATTACTTATGCAGTAAAGTTTATAAAAATTCAGTGTATGTCCAATATAAACACAGAGGGATGATTCGTAAGTTTGTGAGCGAGTTATCCGGGTAAGCTACATGCAAACAGTGGCAGTCCAAGTTAATGTCTTTGTACAACATTTATAACCCATTTACATGTAGTCACTACAGCAGATTGAACAAGTCTTATCCCTTGTTTTAGTGGAAGGGGAGGTTAAAGCAAGAGAAGCTAACCTATCCGATATTCATGATGAGCCACCTCTGGCCAGAGACCAGAACCCATGTCTTCTGAATTCCTGGCTCATGTATGGGTGTGAGTCTTTTTGCCATGGTCTACACGGAGACTTCCTTCTTAATGAAATACATGCCCCACCTTATATTCCGCCGCCAAAACTTGCACGTTTTAAAGTAAAAGGCAGCACGCAGCCCATGACCTGGACACCTTGCCTCGCTCACACCAAACCCTGCTGCCCTGCATCCTGAATACGTTATTCTAGAAAAGGCGGCCTTCCTGTGACAGAGCTAGGCCTGTCACATTAAGAGGAACAACGGTCTCTGAGATGCAGGGACTCAGCAGCACAAAGTCTGCGAGGCTGACCTCTGCCTTCGCTATTTGTCCAACAGCGCTCGTTCATGCACGGGCCTGTCCATTCACGCAGCCGGCCAGAGGCTCCCGGACACCTCCCCTGATGGAGAACAGCCTGGCTGCTCTGAAGGCAAAAGGGACAGGACAAAACCTCTGTCCCTGGGGGCACGGAGCCAGCTAAGGGATGAGCCTCCTGCAAGCTTTAGAAATCAGTCTTAGCGCCCTGCACCTACACTGTGCTCAAACTCAAAATGGACTGAGCAGTGGGTTCCCCCACAAAGGTAAGGGAAGAGAAGCTCTAATTCTGATCAAAATTTAAAAACCCAAGAGCATCTCAGGCCACTGCTTCTCCAACTTTATTGTGACCCCCATCCTCTGGGGATGCACTTCTGATTCAGTAGGGCGAGGCTGGGCCCCAGACTCTGCATTTCCAAAAAGCTCTAGGTGATGCCCAGGACTCTAGTTTGATGTATCGGGGCTCTCCACTAACCTTGGGGGGCTCTAGTTCACCTCTGGTCCAAAGCCCCACAAACTGACACTACTCCTTAACCCGCTATCCGCCTCTGGTAGCTTTTTTTTTTTTTTAAGTAGGCTTCACACTCAATGTGGGGCTTGAACTTAAAACCCTGAGATCAAGAGTCACATGCTCCACTGACTGAGACAGCCAGGTGCCCCATCCAGGACCTCAATTCTTCCTTTCTTTGTTAGAGAGAGAGAGGGGGAGGGAGGGAGAGAGTGCACAAGCAGGGAGAGCAGCAGGCAGAGGGAGACGCAAGGAGCCCAATGCGGGACTGAATCCCAGGACCCTGGGATCATAACCTAAGCCAAGGGAGATGCCTAACCGACTGAGCCACCCAGGCGCCCCCAGGAACTCCATTTTCACTGTGTAAACAGAGTTGGTGCTAGATGCAGACTTCATTAGCATCATGGCAAGCCTGCCCATGGATGAACGGGTAACTACAATAATGTACCCCAGATTTGTTCTTAAGCTTATTCTAAAATGGCCATGCTTTGTTTGTTTTGTTGGTGTTTTTTTTTTGTTTGTTTGTTTTTTAGATTTTTATTTATTTATTTGACAGAGAGAGATCACAAGTAGACAGAGAGGCAGGTTTTGTTGTGTTTTGTTTCTCAGTACGGCATATGACGGATGAGGTCAGGGAACAGGTGAGGCCAGTGGACAGCTCAGGACACCCCGGTGCCAACCAGCAGGCCTTAACTAATGTGTTAACATGCACCTGAGGGTGTTCTGCCAAGTCCTCTTGACCTGACCACGGCTCACTGCAGGGCTGGGAGGTAATTTACAGCAGAGGAGACAGTGACTACAGAAGCAACCCCACCAGCAGCTCTTTGTTTCCAAGCTCGCCCAGGAGCCTCCTGACCGCACCTGAGCCTTCCCCTGGGGTAGCGGGTAGTACACTTTTTCTCTAAAGGGCTGACAGTAAATATTTTACCCTGCAGATCACACCATCTCTGTTGAGCTCTTCTGCCCTGTACTGTGAAAGCAGCCAGAGACCACAACTAAACCAGTGGGTGTGGAGATGTTCCAATAAAACTAGGACAGGTGGTCTCTTTGGCCCAGGGCTCAGGGGCCCAGCCTCGCCCTACTGAATCAGAAGTGCATCCCCACACGACCAGTCCCGCCTGGCTGGTTCTTATCTTCCACCAGCAATCATTAAACAGGCTCCCTGGTTTGCATACCAGTTTCTGAGTTTGGTTCATGTGACTTAATCACAAAGAGGCTCATTCCTGAGGAGGCCCTGCCATGTGACTTCTTCTCTTCATACTTAGGGACAAAAATACATAAAATACCAGAATGAAAAGGATGGCCTGACTATGAACCACAGAAAGGCACCACCAGCCTGACTGCCTCCACTGGCAAACACCCCAGCATGCACTGAAAAAGCAACGCAGGGTTATTTTTACAAATTCAAATTCATCTGTCATTCTTCTACTAATATGCTAGCACTCTACCTCTCAGTGAGGAAAAGTGCCTTATTAATACACAAATGATACTTTCACAGTTAATGTTTGGCAATGGTTCCTTTCTATCACTTTTTTGTTTCTTATAAAAACAGAGTATGTTTCCTTGAACAGAATGGCAAGCAAAAGCCTCACAGTATGACACTGATTGGAAAATGTCACTTAAAAAACACATATGCTAAGGGGAATCTGGGTGGCTCAGTCAGTTAAGTTTCCATCTCTTGATCTCAGTTCAGGTCTTGATCTCAGGGTCATGAGTTCCAGCCCCGTGCTGGGCTCGACGCTGGATGGGGTGCCTACTCAAAATAAATGAAATTTTAAAAACACGTATGCTAAAACCATTCTGGGAAACATATTGGGGCCTGGGTGAAGAGGAGACATGAAAGTAATATAATCTTTCCGTTACCCTCAGCAAGAACACGTCTCAAAGCAGCCTCGCCCAGCCATTTCCTGATCAGCAATATTCTTGGCAAAGTCAAAGCCTCAAAACAAAATCACAAATAATCTTGCTACATAACACACCTGTGATTCTTGTTCTATCAAAGAGAAAAGTAAGGGATCCCTGCTGAGCTAGCTCTTCGGGATGGCTATTTTGTAGTCTCCCCACCCATTCATTCAACAGCCAACAAATAAACACAGCCTGAGCACCCACTAGGCGCTCACAGGTGCCGAACAGGGACCCAATGACAAAACCCTTCATACGATTTAAATCCACATATGATTTAAATCCACACATTGTCAGAGCGGATGAGTGTTAGGGAAAAATACAAGGCAGGAAGAGGAGTATAGTAGGAGCAGGAGGCACTGTTTTTCAAGACTTGAAGGAGGCGAGGAAGTCCCCCCTTTCCCAACAGCTAAATGCTGGAAGCCACATACATGGTCATCGACAGGGGGCTGTCTAGCTAAGTCAGTTACGGTACAGCCTTATGATGGGACACTGGGGAGCCTTTAAGAAGAGCAAGACGGGTCTCAGTGCACCGAGAGTGGGAAGATCTCCGAGGGGTCTGTAAAGGATGTGTACGGAGTCTGCTAATCATCTATGGGGAGAAACTGACAAGACAGGTGTGACCCTAACCAGGGGAGAAAAGATGTCCCCCAGAGCACACGTGCGGATATGCTGCACGGGAAGGCAGAGTGGGATACTTGTGGGTTTCTGCAATAAGCCATGCAAAACGTACACTTCACACAATCCTTGTAAAAGCCTGTGGGCCAGCCTCATCGCTCTGTTTGTGGAGCTGAGCAGAGAGGCTGGGCAGAGAGAGAAATGTGCTGGTAAGCAGCACCACAGGGGCTGACACACAGATCTGCTCCTAAGACTGCTTTTTCTACTCCACCCCCTCACTTGTCACAAGAAGAGCTGTTTATGCAAAGGTCTGCAAGACTGGGTCACCACAAGTGGGTGCACAACACGTCCCACTCAGGGCCCGAGGCCCTCCTCAGCAGGTCACCACCCACCCCCAACCGTGCTCTTCGCCACCCTACTACTTTAAAGTACTTGTGGGCAATCTGTATAAAGAAGAACTCTCCTCTTAGAAGAGCTCTTCAAAGGAAAACCTGAACCACACAAAGTCAAGATCAATGGCCAAGCCTCTACGAATGAATTTTACCAGCCTCCAATGACAAGTCCTCTGCTGTTCCCACTTGGTCCGGCATCCCTCTCACAAGGAGACACAAAGTCAGTAATTCCATTAAAGGACTCTGCTTGACTTAAAGAAGTAAGCTTGCAAGGGAGGTTCAATTCATTTGAGAGGTTTGGGACAGAATGCCCATTCTAAATAAACTGTCACCGGCAATACAAGTAATGAGGCCCCAATCACAGGACTATCAAAGTCAAGTTCAAACCAAGGTCTGACACCAAAGCCCACATCTTAACTACCATCAGATGTGACCTCTCACTGCCAGTCCTGATTTGCTACGAGCTCTGGGCTAGAAACAGGAAAGCAAAGACAAGCAAAGCAGTAGCTAGGCAATGACATCTGAAAAGAGCTTTCCAAACCTGAAGGTCTTTGATTCTGCTCTTTACTCTCCAGGGGCTTACTGACTACATGCAAGAGAGACAAGGAAAGATGATGATAAGGACCCCTCCTTGACCGAACTGAGTCACGCTCCTCTGAGCCCCCATCTCAAGAAAGTCTTGGCCTGCTAAGCTCAGTTTACCCAGAATCCTGTGAGAACGGCCCACTTTTGTTATCTAATCAAGTTCCCTTGCAATTTTCCAAGCGCTGACCCTCTCAGCCTGCTCATAAATCCCAACTATCCTTGCTGTAGTTGGATCTGAGCTCGGATCTACACTGAAGTATCTGTCCCTAACATAATTGCTGGAATAAAATGTGTCTTCAGGGAGACCCTTTCCTCTCTGGGCCTTAATTATCTGTGCAATGAGATGGTAGAACTCATCTCATTAAATCTCTGAATTAAGATTCAGATTCAGTTCTCAAACCTTTTTAACTTCCTGTTTTAAGAGTGAGATTGAAACAAAATCCGGGGCGCCTGGATGGCTCAGTCTATTAAGCCTCTGCCTTCAACTCAGGGATCGAGTCCCGAATTAGGGTCCCTGCTCAGCAGGGAGTCTAATTCTCCATCTCCACAAGCTCCCACCATGCACGCTCTCTCTTTCTCACAAAAGCAAATTTTAAAAATCTTTTAAAACGTTAAAAAAGAAAAAACAAAATAAAAAATCCAACTTCCAACTAGCTCTTATCTCAAATGAAAACTATTTTATTAAGGTTCATCAATATTTTTCCTACAGGGAAAATTTCTGATTCAGGGGCATGTCCTTTAAAGTTACCTAATTCTGACTATATGCAATTTTTTTCTTTATATCTCTGCAAACTGGGTAACAGCAGGACAAACAATTCTTATCTAAAGACACACAAATGAATTCTATCAAGTGGAGGCTGGGCTGATTTCTGGTTGTAGAAAGAAGCCAGTTTTGCCTGTCATTTTTGCCCATCGTTTCATTATTTCTGACCCTGGAGTCTCCTTTGATCTGGCTGCAACCATCACACTACATTTCCTCATAATAAGTTAAATGTAATCCTTAGTACTTGTTCACTTTTATACCTGTATCAAGTGATGACTTTACCTTTCTTAAAAATTATCTTTTGGGGCACCTGGGTGGCTCAGTCAGTTAAGCATTGACTCTTGGTTTCAATTCAGGTCATGATTTCATGGGTCATGGGACTGAGCCCGGGTCAGGTTCCACACTCAGCAGAGTCTTCTTGAAGATTCTCTCCCTCTGCCCCTCCCCTCACTCTTTCTCAAATAAATAAATCTTTTTAAAAAGTTTTATCTTTTAGTATTACAAAAAGTACAAGCAACTAAATCATATTTCCAAATAGACACAATTGATAAACACTTTAAAAATCTCCTAAGTTAGAAGAATTTTTGAATCTAGCAAAGTAAAATTTGCCCAATGGAAAACTGTTTTTCCCCCATTTTTATTTTCACAGCTATCTGACACTTGAATCCCTTTTACCAAAAGTACTGTTTTTGAAACTTGGTAGTAGTTTGTAGTATGTAGTTTGTAGTATTTTCCCACAATGAATGAATGATTTTTCTAGCTAGATGTGAATTCTTAAGCTAAATTTCGTTATGTTATACTCAAGAAATTGAAAGGTAAACATTAAATTACAGAAATGGACGAAGTACAATGTAAAACACCTTTTACCTATTATTGAGTCCATGAACTATTAATATTTTGAAATCTGATAACTCTCTCCCCATAGAACAAATAAAATATTAGATGAAATTTCTTCTCATGTCCCATTCCATTCTCCCCACACCAGAAGACAAACACCATCATAAGTTAACATTTCTTTTTCTTTCTTTCCTTTGTGTGTGTGTGTGTGTGTGTGTGTGCAAAAAGGTGACTTTATTAAAGCATGGGGACAGGACCCATAGGCAGAAAGAACTGTGTAAGTTAGCACTTCTTTTTATTTACTTTATTATACTTTTAAAACATGTATGTCTACTTTGGAGCACCTGGGTGGCTCAGTCATTGGGCATCTGCCTTCGGCTCAGGTCATGGTCCCAGGGGCCTGGGATGGAGCCTCACATCGGACCCCCTGTTCGTTGGGAAGCCTGCTTTGCCCTCTCCCACTCCCCCTGCTTGTGTTCCCTCTCTTGTTGTCTCTCTCTGTCAACTAAGTAAATAAAATCTTAAAAAAAAAAAAAAAAAAAAGAATGTATGTCTATAAACATTCCCTTCTAAAGGACATTTAGGTGGCTTCAAAAATTTATCGTTATAAATGTTACAGTAAACATCCTCACACTCCTCTCCTTGCAAACGAGTGTCTGTTTCTCTAAGCTACTTCCTAGAAGTAGAACTACTTGATCTTAAGATACACACTCTCGTTTTAAAAGATTTTATTTGACAGAGAGGGGGAGAGAGCACAAGCACGGGGAGCGGCAGGCAGAGGGAGAGGGAGAAGCAGGCTCCCCACGGAGCAGGGAGTCTGAGTTAAGGGATAGGGGACCTAACTCAAGCGACAGTGTTCACTTCAATATATTTTTACTGAACAATGCTGGGCATGGTGTATTTCACCTCCCTAACAGTTCAACATTTTTTCTCTTCTCCTTTCCCACTGCAACGTCTTTAAAATCCCTTAGAGGCCTCAGCAATTCTCCTGACTATTACTGCAGGCACGCCCCACTGGGACCTCTCTTCAGTGCTTTTCCACACTACAGAACTACCTAAGATACACATCTACTAAATTCAGTTTCCCAGGGGCTCAGTCAGTTAAGCATCCACCTTCAGCGCAAGGTCATGATATCAGGGTCGAGCCCTGAGTCGGGCCCCCTGCTCAGCGGGGACCCTGCTTCTCCCTCTGCACCCCCATCCCTGCTCATGTTTGCTCGCACATGCTCTGTCAAAGAAGCAAAACTCTTTTTAAGAAAACAAATTCAGCTTCCCAAGCTTTCAGGACAAAATCTAAGTCTCTTAGAGCAGCACAGAAGGGCCTGCAAGATGTACGACTCTATTCTTATGAAACAGAGCTCATGAAATGAACCACCCACACGAAATCCCTAATTCCAACCAGGCTCCATGGCTCTGGTCCAAAAGTATGGCTCTTTCCATGCCTCCAACATGCTGTTTTCCAGGTGAAATATTCTTCTCCATCACTCTAGCTCCTCCCATCCCTCAAACTCCATTCCGGTGCTTCTCTGCCAAGTTCTACCTCTTCCCACAAATCAGGATGAGATGCTTCCAACAGGGTTAGATGCTGCCCCTGTGCAAACCTGAAATACTGAAATGATTCTCTATACACTGCCTCTCCCCTTTACAAATAACCCCTGCTCAGTGAGTAAGGCTCAATGAATATTTGCTAAGGAATGGAACCCTACAGCAAAAAAAGCTGAGCTCCTCCATTCTCAAGGACCACAGGGCAAGTCTCAAACAATGGACAATTCTTTTCATCTCTAAAACGAAGCCCATGATGCAAAGTTCCTTCTTCCAGGCCCCAGATTCTACCATTCTTGGCATGGAATTACGCACGTATATAACCTCACCTCTAATAGTTCAGGGATAGGGGACCTAACCAAACTTTCACTTTCACGCTTGCAGTGAAATCACCCTGAGTCCCACCAGCTCAAACCTCTGAGAACTTGGGCATCCCTAACTTCTCAGAAGGAATGTTTTTACACGTTTGGGTATTTGTGTCGTTGTAGTTACCTGCTTTTACCCTTGGCTACAGAGAACTGGGTGGAAATGGTTGCAGTTCTCTACATTACAAGAACCTAGAGCCCGAACTGCTCATGGATTGTGAAGGTCGGACCTAAGCGCCAGACCCTGCCCGGCACACCCTGGCGATGGGACCTTAGCCAAGACCCTCTCCGTGCGCCCCTTTCCCCCTTCGCTCAGCGCCTGGGCTTCCAGCCGGAGCTCGCGCAACAGAAGAGAGCCCCCAGCAGCCCACGACCACCTCTCGGGAGGACGGGCTGAGAAGTCGCAGCATTTCCCTTTGGAATTCATCATTTCCCGAAATTCTCTTTCGCAGAGTGAGAAGCGGATTACTCAGGGCCGCAGGAGCTGAAAAGCCCGCCCGTGAGGCCCAGAGCCGCGGCAGAGAGGCAGCCCCGGCCCGGGACGAGGGGTCCGGCCGGGAACCCCGGCTAGGGCTCGCGGTTACCTGTGGCGGAAGCCCGCGGCTGCGGCGGTGCTGGGCAGGACCGTGGGAACTCCTCGCGACGCGCAGCCTCACACGCGCAGCCTCAGACAAGCCACCTCGCGAAACCCGCCCTGCAGTGATTGCGAGTGGCACCCGGCTCCCTGCTTTAATGGCCTAGGGCGCTGCATTGATTGGTGGAACTTCGGAACGGGCACCTGCGAAAGCCAATGGGAGGCGCGGCAAGGCGGGGCCGGCGTGCCAGAGGGCCTACAAGTCCCAGCATGCACGAGCAGGAGCTTCTGGGCCCACAGCCCACGAACCTTGCGGCCAGGATTCTCCCAGGGCACTCCAGCTTGAGCAATGCAATGGGACTGAGGGGGGCTTGCCTGGAGACGCAGTAATTCCAGAGTGTCCACCGAAAGATCAAAACCAGTGCGCGGGGACACTTTAACCCACTGGTTCCCAAACTTGTCGCACTTTGGAATCATCTGTAGAGAAACCTCAAAAATACCCATGCCCTTGTGCTGCCCCAGGCATCATCGTGAGTTCCTTGGTCTGCACGTGCTCTGGGTTTTGGAATCTTTAAAGATCCCCCCGTGAATTGAATGTGCAGGTCCATCTAATCCTCGAGACAACCCTATGAGGAGGGGCCGGCACTATTATTGTGGAACCGGCTTTACACTTAGAGGAGGACAAATTAATCTTCTGAAGACCGCATTAGCTCCCGAGCGGCGGGGGCAGAACCCACACCCAGGCAGTCTAGTTCCAGAATCCTGTCGTCTTCATCCCTGTGCAATGCCATTTATCAAATGTTTGGTATTATTATCTCACAAGGAAACTCTATACATACCTGTGCCGTGTGGTTGAGCACAGTAAATTGAGTTGAGTGGAATTGATGTTAAGAGAATTAAGTGCAAAAGACTATGCAAGCACACCAAGTGTAAGATCTAGGGCTGCATTCACGGGTTGTCTCATTTGATCTTCTTTTATAATCTTCTTTTTAAAAGGAAGTCATGCTAGAGCATACTGCCCTGAGCCTGCTCCTTATTTTTGTAAATAAAGTCTGAGAACACAGCCAGGCCCACGGGTTTCAGTATTATCTCTGGCTGTTTTTACCAACAAGGCAGAGTTGAGTCATTATACAAGAGACTGTATAGTCCACAAAATCGAAAATATTTACTCTCTGACCATTTACAGAAAAAGGTTGCCAACCCTGAGTTAAGTGCTTCTCCACAGTCTTAGCTGGGAAGTGACTATCGTCTTTCTTCAGACCCACTTCTATACAAGTCCAAAGCCAATCCTCATGACCTCACGCATTCACAGCCTTCCTCAGTGGGGAGTGTTAGGAGTTCATTCAACCGTTCATTCAAGAACACATTTAGTGGATGTCCCTTATGGGCCAAGTGCAGCTCATTATTGAGAGAAATTAGATTTTTTTTTTTTAAGATTTTATTTATTTATTTGACAGAGAGATCACAAGCAGGCAGAGAGGCAGGCAGAGAGAGAGGAGGAAGCAGGCTCCCCTAGAGAGCAGAGAGCCCGATGCGGGGCTCGATCCCAGGACTCTGAGATCATGACCCGAGCCGAAGGCAGCGGCTTAACCCACTGAGCCACCCAGGCGCCCCGATTTTTTGTTTTTTTTAAAGAGAGAGAGCATGCCTGCAGAGGGGTCAGTATTGGAGGGGCAGAGGGAGAGAGAGAATCTTAAACAGGATCCACGCTCAGTGCAGAGCCCTAAGTGGGGTTCCATCTCACAACCCTGAAATCATGACCTGAGTTGAAATCAAGAGTCAGACACTTAACGGACAGAGCCACCCAGGTGCCCCAAGAGAAATGGGATTCTGTTCTCTCCCCTTGAAGGAGGAACAGCGTGTCCTTAACCACTCAATTCACCCAGAATAAATGGTGGCCTTTGGCCGGTTAGATTTTCGCAGATGAAATGGAACAGGAGTAGTGGCCCAATGCCAGACATGTCTAGGCAAACAAGGTCCAGAGACAGCCTCCTCAGTCTCCCTCAGTGGCACCGTGGGCTGACAGCTGAGAGTACGGAACAAGAGAAGGGAGCTGAAAATTGAGGACCACTGGGTGGCTGGAGGTTGGCAGGGGGTTCCCATGGTAATGGTCAGGAGAGCCTCAGAAGAGACTATTAGGTGGCTAGCCTAGGCCAGGCACAAGGAGGAGGCTGAGCTAAGAGGGTCCTGGAGGGAGAAGTGGGTGCACATGTGGGCTCTGCCATCAACCCACCTGGATTCCAATTCCAGCTCCAGTGGGCACAAGCTGTGGGATCTGAGCAAGTTACTTAACTTCTCAGTGCCTGGGTTTCTTCAACTGTAAAATGGAAGAACATCACCGACTTCTCCCTGTAAATTGAATGAAACACAGTGCTTAGCACCAAGGAAGTGCCCCATAAATAGTAGCTGGGTCAAGAGCATGATGAGAAGAGGAGGATAGTAATCTCTGACCTTAGGCATGGCCTGTGCTCTGATACCTATGCATGGAATGGAATGGCAGCATGGTGTGAAAGGGGAGCACAAATGGGAGGTGCCAGGAGCCAAAGGGTAGGCACCGGAAGAACCCAGGGCGGCAGGAGGGTGACAGGCTCCTGTAAACATATAGGCATGAGGACACCCCCCTCAAATGTCCCCAGATATCAATCCAGATAAAAATCTGTGATAACACAAGATGGTGGCAGATAACCCAGCCACCAGAGATAAGCGCACTGAGAAGCCATTCCAGAGTCCATCTTTTTGTGTCTAATAGTGGGACACTAAGTGAGAAGTTAAGATTAGAAAGCAGTCAGCATTGGAGAGAGTAGGAAAGAAATTGGTTAAGTGTAGAGCAGGTTTCTGCACCTCACCATGACTGACATTTGGGGGCCAGGTTGTTCTTTGTAGTGTATAAGGTTGGGGGCTGTCCCGCTCCTTGTGGGATGTCTAGCAGATTAGCACCCTGGCGGCTACCCACCTGATGCCAGGAGCACCCTTCTTTCAAGTTGTGACAACCGAAAATGTCCCCAGGCATTGCCAAAAGCCTCTTGGGGGAAGGAGGGGCAAAATCTGCACCGATACCGCCCCTACCCATGACGAGAACCACTGGTTCAGGGAGAAAGAGGGCTCAACATTCATTCATTCATTCATTCTGTTTGATAATGATAGTCAAAGGCATGGACTCTGGATCCAGACATCCCAGATTTTGATTCCATCTCTGCCACTTTCTGGCTGTGGGATCCTGGACAATCTCTTCACTTATCTGTGTTTCATAGGTTGCTATAAAGTTCAAATGAACTGATACACATGATGAACAAACTCAGAACAGAGTCTAGTCAGGTGTCCACTATTTCTCGAGTGCATAAGTGCCAGACACTAGTCTGAGCCCTGAGGATCCCTACAGTCAACTGTCCCCACCATGAACAGACTCAACTTTTATATGTGGATATTTCAACTGAACTATGTAATATTGTCGATCTAAAAAAAAGGGGGGGTAGGGCACCTGGGTGGCTCGGTGGGTTGGAGCCTCTGCCTTCGGCTCGGGTCGTGGTCTCAGGGTCCTGGGATCAAGCCCCGCATCGGGCTCTCTGTTCGGTAGAGGGCCTGCTTCCTCCTCCTCTCTCTCTCTCTGGCTGCCTCTCTGCCTACCTGTGATCTCTGTCTGTCAAATAAATAAATAAAATCTTAAAAAATAAATAAATAAATAAAATAAATTTTAAAAAGGGGGGTAAATGGAGGCAAGCTCAAAAAAGGAGGCATTTATTTGGAAAGAGCAGAGGAATTTCAGTTTGAGACAGACAGACTATTACAAGCTATAGGTGAGGGCCTTGAGGGTTTGGGGTAGGTTGTATTTGTGGGGAGGGAAGGTAAAGAGGGGAACGTTCAGCCAGAAGTCAATTTAGAATCAAACACACATGAAGACCAGCTTTGAAAATGAAGGGGTCCAGGACAGACCCCCCAGAATGTGCGAATTTGGCATGTGGATTGTCTTGAGCCGAAAGCACCATGGGCTCAAGAGACAGTTTTGTCCCTCCCTTAACCACGGAGAAGAATCTAAATTAAGGGTCTTTCCGTGAATAAGAGTTATTAACAGAGATCGGTTTCATCAGAGTGGCCCAACTGTCTGGTAGGGCAAACATCTACTTACCAAACATCGGCTCCTCGTCTTCTCATCCTGTGAAGTACATTCCTTTCTTCCCAAGTCCCAGATCGGTACCGCTTCTCCTTAGTTCAGGAGGACACACACACACCTGATTTTACCTGTCTTTGGAATGTCCATGTCTGTGTGGATTCCCCGTATGTACGCTCTTGATTTTGATTTTTCTCCTGCTAACCTGTCTCATGTCAATTTGATTCTTAGTCCAGCTAGAAGGACCTTTGAGGGGACTGGAGTTCTCACTCCCTGACCTAGTAAAATACATACCACATAAAATTTTCCACTTAAATCATTTTTACATGTACAGTTCGGTGGCATCAATCATGTTCATATTATTGCATAACGAGTCCACTCCCAAAACTTCTCATCAGCTTAAGAATCATCCCATCCTTCCTCAAATAAAATCCCACCTGGCTAACATCAGCTGACTCCTGCTTATTCCCATGACCTCATTTCCTGTCACAGGACTCACTCCGCTCCAGCCCTCCTGGCCTTCTTGTCTTTGCCTGTGCCAGTCCCTCTTCCGGGCATGCCCTTCCCCTTCCAGTCACGCAGCTGGTTCCTGCTCCTGAGAGATGACATCCTGCACCCGCTGACCTTAAATAGCACACAAAACCCCATTGCTCTAAAGCCTTTCATCTTGCTTTACTGATTCTCTTTATACCTTTCTTAGTTAATTTCCTAGCTCTCCACTAAAATTTAAGAGCAGGGACCTAGCTCTCTTATTTATTTCTATACCCCCAGTGCCCAAAGCAGTAGCTGCCGCACAGCAGGGACTCAGTAGATAAATATCAGTGGAATTAAATGGCACAATAAACATACGTGCAGATTGCTGTGATCCTAAACACAGGGTGGGGGGGGAGGGGAGGGGCACCATCTCTTCCTGGTTGTTTTGGAAGGAGTTCCAAGCAATCAATAAGCATTTATTTAACCCTGTGGTGGGCAGTATTCTCAGACCGGCCCCACAAGAACCCTCAC